AGCTGGGAAATACCGATCAACATCTGTGCTTTGAGAAGACTTTCTCTGGTGTATGAGGATGGGCTGTGAATGTGATATATTTATCAGTCGTGAAAAGAAAAATCTGGAGGCCTGTTGGTCGAAGAAAGGTGTTGAAAAAAGTCTGAAGGGTCTTCATACGATTGCATCCTATAACAACAAAAAATTGCAACCTAGCCTTTTTCTGTTTCTTTTTTTTTTTGTATCTGCATTAAATGCAAAACTTGTTAGGATTACAGTTTGTGTGGGTTGTTTTTGTGTTTTCTTTTTCCACCACTAGATGGTGCCCTGTCCTTGTTTGGGCCTCCTCGCACACCTGCGGCTCTTTGGGTCATCACCAGAGGAGTATTTGAGCAGCGGGCTGTCACTACCTCGACGCCAGAGTGTTTGCCAATATTGCGTACTCTAGCCAAACTGAAATTAGCTGAGTCTACCTTGGCCTTGTCTCTCTGAGTCTAAGCTTGCTTTGTCTTTTGTTCTCTAGCAGGAGGCCTTCCTGATCCACTGGATAAGCCTGGACCTTCAACGCCCCTGGAAGGATAAACTTAGTCACATGGAGCAAGGGGAAACCTCCGCAAGATCTGTTCTAGTTCTCTTCAGGAAAACCCAGTGACAGTCCGCTCCATTGCTCCTCAGGGTCCACCTTTAGTCTACCTGTCCGCCCTCCAACGAGTTCTCTCATCTCTGGATATAACCCCACAAACTGGATCCAAGCAATAACCTAGAGCCCCCTAAATATGAGTGCCACTCGGGCAAATTACAAGCCTCAGTCATTTTTCCTACGGTCCCTGAACTGAACTGTGATCTCCCCTTCAGAGTTTCCAGTTCCAGTTCACCAGTCCGCTGAGTTCCAACACTGTTACCCAGCTGTATATCTCTCACTCTGTTTTTGTCAACCACAATAAACCTGTTAACTTTTTCCCTTGGCTTCTGAGTGTGTCTCTACATGTGGGTCAGAACCTTAAAGCCCATCATGACAATCCTTATTTTGGACATTCTTTATTTGTGATCAATGGCCACTTAACGCTACAGTGTGTAATTTTCAGCGACATCTAACGTCCAGCCTGCAGACCGCAGCAACATGAACATCCCTCCCCCACCACTTCTCCCCCCCCAACAGTACG